TCCTTTACTGACAACTGAATTTTCTGGAGGCTCATTATTTAACCACAAACAGAAAACGTTTAAATTATCCAATGTAAAGAAAACAATAAAGCAAATCTACGTATAAATTAGTTATGAGCTTGGTTTCTGAACATGGACTATAGGACATGGATACATCAAAGGCATGAATTCAGCAAACCGAATACTTAATCCAATGAGGTTAGGAAAAAACTTGTAAACTTGAACCCAACGCCTATTTAGCGCTGGTAACTGTTCATACTTTTTGATCCGTTACCCACTTTTCAACGCAAGTCAAAGGCTGTTCGTAGCACTGAGACCTCCCCACCACTCCCCCTGTGCTTCACTGAAGGTTCAGACGGGACAACGCGTTATTTTAGTTCTTCACAACCTAAGAAAGAGGTGAGTAGTATCTCTACTGCCATTTGCAGATGCGGACATCAAGGCTTTGCGCGGGCACGTAGCGTTCTCTGGGCGCCCGCGAGAAGCCGGAGGCCGAGTCCAGGGCCTGGAGCCTCAGCCGCGCGCCAGCCCTCCGCCACCGCGCGGGTCGCGCAGGGTCAAGGTCCCGAAGGCCGAGCCCGCACGGCAGGCGGACGTGGCCTTGGCGCCGAGCGCCGTCCCCGCCGTGACCTTGAGCCCGGCCCGCCGGGAAGGCGCTCCGACTCCGCCAAGGCTCCCCCGCCTGGCCCGGCCCGGCAGACAGCGGCCTCGGCCCCTGCCGCCCCGCAACCCCTGCGGCTCTGCCCCGAGGGAGCGCTGCCGGGCCGGGGCGGACACCCGTGCCGGGGACCCCGCGCCCTCTGCCCCGCGGCGGCCCCTCCCCGGCCGCTCCCGGAAAGGGCGGCGCTGCTCACCGGAGCACTGGCAGGAGGCTGCAGGGGGGGGCCCGCCGCAGGAGACCGCCGACCCAAGCCGCTCCGCGGGCGTGCAGTACTCGCGCCGCCATCTTGCTCTGGCGCCTGGGCTCCCACCGCCCGGGCCGCCGCTGACGCCGCCGCCGCCGCCGCCGCCGCGACCCCTCC